ACGTCGCCGATCGATGCCAGCGCTTGGACGCACGTCAGAGCACTGGCGTACTCGGCGCGGAAGAGAAGAAGTAGCGTGCAGCGCCAGATGTGTGTACATAGAAGGGAGCCGGCGCAGGAAGCGAAGTGGGAGCGGGGATCATTGACGGATGGTGGTCCTGGGTGTGTTGGGTAGTTGCGCATACAGCGGGCGAGGATATTGGCTGTGTCAAGGGCTGTAGAGACGCAGTAGTCCATTGCTGAGGTGCGGACAATGTCTGGACAGAAGGGGGAGATGTTGTGGCGGTGAAGGAGGAGGCGGGCGTTTTGGAGGTAGATTACCGGGGCCAAGGAACGGGGGTCGAGATCTTGATCGGTTTTGGGGTGAAATTGGGAGGGGAATGTTGCGAGGCAGGTGTTGAAGTGGAGTTCAAAGGTCTCGAGCGTGGCGGGGCTGATGGTTGCTGAGCGTAGAGTGCGCGTGAGTTGACCGATGGACCGGACGACGTGGATCGTAGCTAGTAGCGGCGTTGTTTGCTGGCCGTCTGGGATATTGCCTCCTTCTGTGATGTATTGCTCGTCCACGGGACATGGGAGATCGATATCGCAATCTTGATCGTTGATCAACACAGGCTTCCCCATCTCAAGCGCAAGTAATCTGTCCCAGGCGTATAGCCCCCACCAAACACGCTTCCGCATCTCTCCTTCGACTGCAGGCCACGGGCCAGAGTCGATGTGCAGCCCAATCTCTTGAGCCACGCGCACTGCTGAGCCAATCCACACCCAACTAGCCGACTTCGAATTGACCTCGTAGAGAAAGATGCTTGCCAGTAGCGCCGCGCGAGCCCGATCCAAATTGAAGTTATCGTGCCAAACATCAATAATTCCACAGGAAGTGCGTACATATTTCTTTCCTTCTTCCTCCCGATTCGCCTCGTTCGTGTGGATGGAACCGCAGGCAAATACACTAAATAGCACAGCCGCCCATTCATTCGAGACCCCCAACAGCGACCCCGACCGATAAACTTCTTCATACTCTGCGATGAATATGGGCCAATGGAGCACCGGGAGCACCGAGTGAATGCAATTGAAATATTGGGCCAATAAATGATCTGCTAGATTCTTCGGTGGCAGCTCCGGCGCATCCCCAGTCACCAAAGATTCTGCACCCTGTTGACGATAAGGGGTGGGAACTTTCAAAATGCCACGGCCGTAATGGCGGAGATTAGACCGCACGTCAGAGAAATCCTGTGGGATGGGCGCCTTGGAACGGCGCACGGGTCGATATTCGATCTCAGGCAACTTGATCATCGGCTGCAGGACGCCTTCATCAACATCGAACATGCGATCGGGTCGCATCATGCCCGTCTGTAAGTGCTGTAATTGCTGTTTCGTATTCTGCAACTGCTTCTCCAAATCCTGGACCTGTTTGATGGACGACATGCGGCGGTTGGTCTCTTTGGTAAATTGACAGCGCACCCTCCGATTGTTACATTCGGTGCAACTAGACGACTCCGAGGCATCACATTTAACCTTGCGCTCGCGACAGGCATCGCAGCTGGGGTCCTTTCTACGCTGACGATACGCGCGCTTCTGCTGTAATTGCGCGGCGGTCTGTTGCCCATGCCCCGGGCTAGTTTGGTAGAGACCTGATACTGAGTTCATTGGCGGGGCATCTGGAAGCGCAGTCTCAGCTGGTGATCCGGAGGCGGAGTCATAAAAGCGCTGGTACGGCGATGTCGCCGGTCCAGCTGAGGGCATAGGCTGCAATAAATGGGACATTCGCATCCCGCTGTCAGGTCTGCTCGGCGGAGCGGAAAGTAGCGCGGGAGCCGGGAATGCGCCCGACGTCACCGACTGTACAGGTGGAAGTTCATAGCCTTTACGAAAAGGCTGCATGGTGAGGATATGGGAAAGAACCAAGATTGCGGTTGAAAGGTGAATTTAAGATAAGGGTTATCGCCACAGTCCCAAGCAAGATTTTGGGTTTCCTGCTATTATGGAAATTGGAAAGTCATTGTTTGAGATTGAAAAAGGAAATAGAAAAAAAAAATATAAAAAAATAAAAGTCCCAAAGCCCAAAAGACCGGACAATAATATGCAAATGCCGAGGTTGCCCAGGTGGGAAAGGTGAAGATCAAAGAATGTGAAGAAAGGGGATATCGGGGAATGTAAAATCAACCGTTAGAGAAAAGGAAAGGGAAAAAAAAGAAAAAGAAAAAAAAAACCGAACTATAGATCGACGAAGAGTATTACGATCTTCGAGAATATTTGGATTTAAAGAATCTTCAACGGATCTAAGCCGAGTGTGTATATCTGTACATGAAGTACGGAGTACGGTAATATATAAAGCAAGTCAACCCGAGATCGGCAGTAGTGTTTGAATATACCATGGAAACAATAGGTCCATTCAAAGTGATTTTTTTTAAAGAATTTTTAATATAAAGATACTAAAATGTTTAATATGTTAATATGATATCAGAAAAAGAAATGAAAAAAAACAGGTCCATGAAGATCTCGCCCCTCTCCTTCACAGGATGATCGACTTCGGAAGTCATGCACCGGGACCACATGGAATCGGATGGATGGCCCGGATCTTTATTGGTATTTTCTCGCCTATCAAACCCAACTCTGCCTTTTCCGAGCTTTAACCGTATTGGACTACTCCGTTATAAACCAATAGCCCTGGAGTCTAACTTAAACTTGATTATATAGCTCCGGGGTTCCACCCCATCTGGGTACAGTGCCGAAACGGAGAATATATCCAGTGTAATACCACTGGTGTTTGATTCCGTTTTTACTGGATGTAGTGGACTACGAATGCTGTGCAGGGGAAAAAAAAAGAAAAAGCAATCATGGAGCACAGACAGCCTCAGCCGCTTGGCCCTTAATCGTTGCCAGTTTACTCCGTCCACGGGTACTCCGTACTGATATGCTCCCGGAACTTCTCCGGTTCATCAGAGCAAAAACACAACTCTGACCGGCTATCGTTTGACATTTGGGCCCTTGCAGAACAGACTTGGCACATTTCTAAAGTCGACGAGGCTTGAAACCCTTTTTCCCCGCCCTCGGTTAGAGGGCTTGGGACTCCGAGCTAAGAGAACCCTCGTGACAGGCTGTTTTGCCGATAAACTTAATTTGATTTAAATAAAAACAGTCTCTCGGCAAAGAACATGTTACAGGGACCGGTTAACCCTAAACGAAAAACATAGGTTTACTCGGTTCGTGCCGTACGGAACTATTCTCCATATAGTATGCAGGGGCTTGCAAATGGCACGTGTAATGCATTGACCCCGTACCTGCTAATGATACCTGCAGAAATACTTTTTGGCTAGTTTTGAAGCTAGGCCCTTTCCTGGGTTTCGGAACTTGCGGTGTACCATAGTTTCTATATGCCGTCTCTTGGACCTCTTATTGGGCTCCAATTGGATCACTTCCATAGGACTATCAATTGCCCCATTCTAAATTTATATAGACATGCCCCGGTACTTGAATCTCAGCTCATATCCATAGTATAGAGATACACAGATCGGCAAGGTCCGAGAATTGCAATATCTATGCGCCCCGTGGTATTGCTTTGATCCTCCACTTTCAAGGGTCAATGCGCTGTCTGAAAAAAAAAAAAAAAAAAAGAGAAATTATCTCCACCTGAACTTAGCAAGTACCTACATCAATTCTAATATGTGTACGGAGTACCACAAATCTCCAATACTAACTCCAATATTGTTTCACTTCCGGCCATGGTTCAACGCCCCACAACGGGACAACGATCTCGATGAAACACCCGTTAACCGAGCCATTCCGATTTGCTCTGCTTGACAACTGTCACGGTTGTCAGCCCGAGACACCCGGCGTCTTCCGTGTGTTAGTTCACGGGTGTGTCTCAGATCAAATGGGATCTGAGATGCTTCGGGTTGTTGACCGAGTTGATGATGGATGATGGATCCTTTTTTTCTTTATTTAACGTGTATGCGGAGAATTTGGTTCTAAAAGTTTTTCATTTGATGCGATTGTTAGTAAGGAAATATGTGGTTTTGAGGGTGCTTATATACCACTGTGGGGTTTAAACGATATCCACCTGCAGTAGGTAGATGCAACGGTGATATTTGTGATAAGCACAACATAAATACATAGTACCCTGGTGGAATCAATGTGCATGCAAGGTCTCACAATACATCCATTAAATCTTGGCTATATTGTGCATTCAAGTCAAGCGGTTTTTATTGATTTATAGCATATGTTTTGGAGCAAGGACATCAACACCACTCATAGACTTGTAGTTCTTCCTTTGGTAAGATCTCCCGCGAACCCAAACATCCATGTGTGAGATAAACCAGTCCAACCCACTTGCCTAACTAGGCTAAACCAACTCCACGTAAATGAGCATGCTAATCAGCATCGAGCGCCGAGTTTTGCACATTACAACTAAACAACGAGCTAGTCGACCCACTCTCAAATTGAAGGACATCAACGCGCTTGCCGCGAACTCCCTCACTCGCAACATTGCAGGAACTCTGACCAGCTTCCAGTATACGCTCACATTGTATCCATTTTAGCCCCTTGTCTGGCGGTTTAGATAAAGACACACGCGCTGCGAGAATCGCCCCCGCCACAACCTATAAAAAAGCTTACTCCATTTCTTATCTTCCAATAAAGATCCAGCTTTCTATAGCCGGACAGAAGACGGAGCAATCTCGGGGCCAAATAGGTTCTCGGACTCTGCGGCGGAGTCATCGATAATAGCTTGGCATCAGCCTTGCTGACGCTTGCAATTCGGCGCACGAAGTCAAAGCACGTCCAGTAGAATAGAAGCCAATGTATCCACAGCGTTCATTCATGCTTTCCCCATCACACCCATCAAGTACCTAGAGGTAACATTCCCCGAAAGTTCCGATCAATAAGCGGATACTGGAGCTGGTGCCAGGCTTGTAGAAGTCATGTGTGTGAGTTGAGGCCGTGTTGTGTCTGTCCCACGTGCATGACTCGCTCCGGTGTGTGGCGTCTAGGAGCGCCATGATGTCCTTAGTAAGCGGTGTGTGCCGCCCGGGCGAGTCGCACTCGGTGTCCGCCGTGAAAATCTGACTTGCCTCTGCTTTGTGGACTCAGTTTGTCTTTGGGTATTCGTGTGCCGACGATCAGGTGACCAATCACCGAGAGGTCCGTGAGGTCCTTTTGCAAGAGGCGGAGACTACTGTTGACTATAGTGTTGGTGCCTGTTTTAATTTGGATTGGGTTCGGTCGGAAGTTGAGTTGGATTAAATGGGTAGGGGAGGTCGCCTTCACGGTCATCATAGAATCTCATGCCTGGCCTATTCTGCTGGTGATTGTGGTCCCTGTACCAAGGATACCATAAAGCCTGGATTATTGCCTCAATCAAATGCCATAGACACTATGAATTCTTGCAGGAAACAGTCAAACAAGGGATAGTAAAAATTGTGCGGGCGAAGAAGGAGGAAGAATTCGGTCAGAATCAGGTGAATGAGTATGGTTCCAATTAGGTATGTGATTTTTAATAGATGGACGGTTGGAACGGATATTTCGTTCGACAGACGTTTATTTAGCACTTCCAGCCTTTTCTTGCGTGTGTTCTTCCCATTTCTCCATGATCACGTTGATGATCTTGGTCAGCCCTTCCATTTCCTCCGCGACTTCCAACCCCATCCCATGTGGGTCAATACTGCAGCCAACATACACCGGGATAGAAAACCGTCGAGCTAAGATCTTGGCTATGCGGGCTGTGTATTCAATGCTAGATGGTGATGTGTAGAGTGTTGTTGATATTGTCGACTTGGGTGAAGTGCGCTATATAGATGTCAGCCATATTCTGAACGCAAACAATCCTATCGGAAGACAATCAGGAAATTCCAATTATCATATGAGGGGATATCCGTTTAGCACTGCAAGTCTCCTGCCCAATGGAGCTTGAGGTTCCAAGGTTGGGCTGTGCGCGGGAGATTGCAGCATATTCCACTTCGAGGGAAAAGCCATTTTGGGGCTATGCCAAAGAAAGATACCATGTCGTATCCATATATTATGGCATGAGAAAATGACATTTCCCTTGCTGGAAATATGGCAAAGAATTCCAAATGACAGGCAAGGTACTTACATCGGGCATCGCATAGACGAAACTCCCCATGGGCTTGATAGAGCCGCCCGAATCAGCCGGCGATGAGGTAGCCAGGAATACCATTGCACAATGGCCCAAGAAGTTCAAGTGAACATGTGCCGTTGTATGAAAAGCCTTGGGCAAGGTGAACGAGATCTCTTGAGGCTTGACGCTGGGAGTGGCTAGTTCCGCGAAAGGAATAGCTGGGGTTTCGGTCGCCATGGTTATTCTTTCACCCTACCTCTTGGTGTAAAGGAAGAAATAATTTATAGAGAAAAGGGGAGAATGGTATTTAGACAAGTTGTTGAAAGTCGGAACACTCCATATTGAATATTGAATCCCCGCCCTGGCACTGTTACGGTGCGCCACAACAGCCACTCGCGACATAATTCAGGCTCCCAAGGTGTTATTGCTGGCAGAAAACCATTTCCTTCTTCTTGCCTCTGTTATTTGTTCCCATGGAGATATAATAGATAACTCATCGTAATACTCTCCCTTGATCCAATATTTTGTTGCTCTCTATCTTAATAACAGGTCGATTCTGCATCAAATAGACAAGATTTACAAAGCTGCTACTGAGTACCTGGATGTCTACACATGTGACAGACCCGCCGCAACTATCGAACATGATGTGGATGAAGGATTACCTGACTGGCCCTCGTAGCCTTCTATACATAAGCACATATCTACATACATTCCTATATCTGGGTAATTAGGCTATAGCTGTACATCATCCTATAGTGTTGATATTCTAGATAAGAAGGCGGAGAGTGGAGCGGTAAAGCTCATTGACCCAATGGGAGTCATTCATGAGCTTGGAAGGATTGCCCACTTGTTTTGTGTGCCCCTCCATATACTTTCTCTGGTCTCTCTCTTCTCGTTTTTTTCCTTCAACAATTGTTTTTTCTTCGTCACAGTCAGTTCTCTCAGAGGGCGTGTGGCTTTGTAGCATTGAGCAGCACCTTTAGATGTGGAGCTAGTCTAGCAATCTCCTCATGGCATCTGAGCATCAAAAGCCCCAGACTGGGGGGAAGAGAACAGTTGGGGAGGGGACTTCGACCCTTTCGCTGATCCTGAAGAGCGTAGGGTATTATTTGCTGCGTTTGACTCATTCAGGTATGTGGTCAGACAGTTGATTACAACACATGTTTTGTTGGCTTGTAGCTTCTGCATCGGATTGAAACGACCAATTGCCTACTTCGTACATACAATGGTTTTGGCTAATCCACCCATAGGCAATATCGGCGAAACGCACATATGAATACTACTCATCGTCGACGGCAAGCTTTCTATGCCCTACCCTCAGCACACTGGCAGATGCTCTCGGAGCCTCCATTCTCCATCCTTGATAACTTCAATAAGGTGGATGATGCCATCGATACCAATGCCGACATCGCGGATACAATTCTGGCACTGGGTCTTCAGTCATTTGGTCTTGCTGCAAACCCCGACAAGACCAATCCTACTGAAAATTGGCATGACATAGCAACTTCATCGGATGTCAACAAAGCGCACTCAACGATACGCCAGTTCTATCGTGACTGGAGTATCGAAGGACGACCCGAGAGAGAAGTCTGCTATGACCCGGTGCTCCAGGCTCTCAACGAGGAGTTCCAGACGCGGCGTGATAACGGAGAGGAAATCCGTGTTCTGGTCCCTGGTGCTGGCCTGGGCCGTTTAGTTTTCGAGATTTGTATGGCAGGCTATGACGCCGAGGGAAACGAGATCTCTTACCACCAGCTGCTAGCCAGCAGCTGGGTTCTGAACCATACCGACGGGCCAGCAAAGCATGCCCTTCATCCTTTTGCATTGCATTTCTCTAATCTCCAATCCCGAGCACAGCAACTCCAACAAGTTATGATCCCCGACGTGCACCCCGGATTGGCCATGCAGGAGGCTACCAATGCTGGTCGCCGCTTCGGTACGATGTCCATGTCCGCAGCAGATTTCACCGTATTGTATACTCAGCCGAACAACCACGAGACGTTTGACGCAGTAACAACTGTTTTCTTCATTGACACGGCCCCAAACCTTATTCGGTATATCGAGACGATCCGACACAGCCTCAAGCCCAATGGGCTCTGGATCAACGTGGGCCCACTATTATGGCATTTCGACGACGGTCACTCCCGTAAGGGAAATGAGTCCGGATACGAGGGGGCTGGGATTGGTGAGCCAGGAAATGTGGAGTTATCCGAGGAAGAAGTGCTGAGCCTTGTGGAGCGCATGGGATTCCGCCTCGAAAAGCGTGGCGATCGGAAGGCTTGTGGCTATATTCAGGACCCCAACAGCATGCTTCAGAATCTTTATCAACCCTCACACTGGGTGGTGCGAAAACTGGTTTAAATGGGGGGGGCTGGAAAGCGGACAAACCCCTGTAATCTAGAGACATAGGTAGGCTAGACAAGGCTGTTTTTCGCCCTTTTTCTCTCTTTTTTTTTCGCCTTTGGGGGCCAAAACTCGAGACAAAGAAAGAGCCTAAAGGTCTGAGGATTAACCTTGGGTAGAGAGTACAAAATGAGGAAGATCTATATACCTCGATGTACTTTGTATATATAGTGTTCACGTTCACAAAGAACATGTACATATACTTACCCGGAGAGATTTGAGCGCCAAGGGAAATGGGTGAGATATTCATAATCTAAGTACTCCGTACGGAGTACATAACTAGTAATTTGTTAAATATCTAATGTTGTTAATATCTCACATTTCAACTCCGTGGAGTATATAGTAAACTTGTTTCAGCCTCACCCCGGTTTATAATCTTCACTTTAATTCGCTTTAATTCCCTTAATTCCCCTACAAAAATCGTTATATTGTTCAGGGTTTCATTCTTTGATTCTCCACAATATTTACCGTAAACCTCAGCCTCACTTTCCCCCTCTTTCATCCTCCCCTTCCATTTTCTTTCCCTCTTTTGTCGCCTCACATGGATCTCATGAGTTCCCGATTTAAGTCATTTGGCTTTAGGAACAAACATAAGACTAATCCCAACTCCATTTCAACTCCTACCCCTAGTTCCCCACCCCCTTCCGGTCACAGTTCATCATCAACAAGTCCTTCAATGAGCCAACAACATTTAGGCCGACCGCCAAGTTACACAAACAACCGACCAACGAGCCCAATGATGCATAGTCATCCCCCACAGCCTCCACCTTTAGCTACAAATCTTCCATATCCTAATGCTTCTGTGAACGGCTCATCGAGCTACGGCATGGCTCCTAGTATTCCTGCCCCACTGTCCAACAACCAGTATCCAGGGCGCAACCCTGCGGTCGAGGTCGAGGGTGGGGATCGAAGCAAAGCCCAACTGATTGTCGGTATTGACTTTGGCACAACCTTCTCAGGTGTCGCATATGCATTTGCGACCAACAACCAGGCAAGCGAGGATATCATCACGGAATGGCCCGGCGCTGGAACCCACGCAAAACAGAAGGTGAGCGTGAACAAGTATACTCCATGAACGTGAGTTCTAACAGGTTTTCTCTCTGCTAGATTCCCACTGTCCTCTACTACGATCAATACCAAAAGGTAGTAGGATGGGGCCCCGATATCGCCGACGCTCTCGCCCCGACCGGATACCCCAAGCCCCAAGTGCAGAAAGTCGAGTGGTTCAAGCTCCAGCTTATGCTCTCTGGAAACACCTATATTGATCCCATCAACCTGCCTCCCCTCCCCCGGGAAAGTCCGAAATCGATGTCGCGGCCGATTATCTCTTCAAGCTACGACAAGCCATTCGCGCACAGCTGCAAAAGGCTCTAGGAGAGGTGTTCACGCGCGAGGAACGCAATATTCGATACTACCTGACCGTACCGGCGATTTGGAACGATGCCGGCAAGGCTGCCACTCGGACTGCTGCCATTCAAGCTGGCTTCTTGCGCGACGAGAACGATAACCGTCTTACACTAGTCTCAGAGCCCGAGGCAGCGGCCTTGTTCTGTGCCAAAAGCGGATTGCTCAACTTGAAGGTGGGCGACGCTATTTTGATCGTGGATTGCGGTGGCGGTACTGTGGATTTGATTGCCTACGAGGTCGAGGAAGAACAGCCTTTCAGTGTGATGGAATGTACTGCCGGGTCTGGTGACTCGTGTGGTTCAACAGCACTGAATCGGAATTTCAGTAACATCTTGCGCGCGAAGATCCGTAAGATGAAGCTGCCGGATGGCTCTCGGACTGCGGGCAAGGTCTATGCGAAGTGCATCATGGACTTTGAGAACCGTATCAAGGCCGACTTCCGCAACAACGGGCAAAAATGGGCAGTGGATGTGGGTATCGAGGCCGACTTCCCCGATGCTGGTATTGAAGAGGGCTACATGACCTTCATGAACGAGGAGATCCTTCAGTGCTTTGAGCCTGTCGTGAATCGTATCCTCGAGTTGGTCCGCAACCAGATTATCGCTATTCAAGCACAGAACCGCCTGATCCAGGTAAGAGCATCCAGGCTTAGTTTTCAGGGCAGAGCTAACAAGTTTGTAGAACGTTCTGGTCGTCGGTGGATTTGGTGCTTCAGAATACCTCTTCCAGCAGATCAAGCTCCACGTGCCGCCACAATATCAGACAAAGGTGGTCCGTCCGATGGACTCTGTAGCTGCGATTGTCAAGGGTGCAGTCACCGCAGGTATTACCGAGCGGGTCGTCACACACCGTATAGCACGTCGGCACTACCTCATGGCCACGCTCCAGCCATTCAAGGAAGGCTATCACCCGGAACAATACCGTGTTCCCAGTTTGGATGGCCGCGATCGATGCAAATACACCCGCCAGATTTTCGTCCAAAAGGGCGAGCGTGTCAGAATCGGCGAACCAGTCAAGGTCAGCTTCTTCCGTCAAGTTGCACCTGGCGCCACCCTCATGTACGAAGATGTGCTTTACGCCTGTGATGAGGATGTCTGCCCCGAGTACACCAAGGATCCACGTAAGTTGAGCGATTCCGTTTTTCTTGTACGCATTACTAATACCTTCCCTAGGCATCAAGGAAGTGGTCACACTCACATCCGATCTGTCACGCAAGAATCTCGAGACCGACTTCGAGCGCATGGACACACCACAAGGCATCTTCTACCGTGTCTATTTCGATATTTACCTTACGCTAGACGGCAGTGAATTTAGCGCCGAACTGGTCTGCCAAAACGAGATCATGGGCCGCTGCCGTGCTAAGTTCCGGTGATCTACTCACGTTTCGCACACGGCACATAAAAACAACATCAATACGCGTGCCGTATATAAATTTCCCCTGGACGAGGCCCACGACATTACCGGCGAACAGCAGCGTGGCCATGACTTGAGCTTTCTTGATTTGAATTTCCCCCGCATTGGTCTTGGATCGGTGAACTGGTCAGATACTCCTAAACGGATGACCGGACACCACTGCACCGGCGAATAGGCGTTATTTGTGTTGATTCTTGCGGAACCTGTGCCGTTCCTAAATATATGCCACGGTTTTATGGAGCCATTTGTTTAGCCTACTTGTTTCGTTGGCGGTTCCTGTTTGTGGCTTTCTCTTCTCTTCTTTTCTCTCCTTTTTTCTCTTTCGCCTTCTTTTAGATACCTCTTGACTATCGTGCTTTGTTTGAATGATATTGACGAGCTGTGGTCCTCATTTGACTTATAATATCCAGTTCTATCTACATATTTATACCTCCATGTACTCATGACTATGAGTGGATATGAAGCAGATGCCATGCCATATAACCTATCATCAAGTTCATCCATTCCGCGTATTTTATCTAGACAAAAATTGAAGATTGTCCAACCTCGATCCCCATTTTTCAGATAGACAATAGAAAATAATGAGAAACAAGTCCCAAGAGACAAAAAGTAAGAGTGGTAATACATCTAATTCTTCCCAATCAAGTCTCCAGGTTAATGCTCCGACCAAACCGCGCATACAGCGCAACCTTCAGCTGTTGCATTTCCTCGCGCAGCTCACCAAGAGAGTCCTCCAGCTTGGAGACATCGGCATCAATCTTCTCTGTTGATGTGGTAAGCATTGTCTGCGCGTCTGGTAGTGGTAGTTGGAAGAATGAGTCGCCGATTTTGTAACTGTGTTCTTGTTAGTGACATCTTCTTTGCTTTTCTTGCTCTATGAATTTTCGGTTTCTTTGCAATACTCCAAAATGAGAATCACAGAGAAGAGCCACAACGGAATATAGGAACATAAATGAAAAAAAAGAACGAAAAATAGAAAAAGGAGACAAGAGAGGGTATTCCTTACGGCACAAGCTCATCTTCATCAGCAAGCTCCAACTCCATTGAAACCTCTTCCAAATCCTCTTTGTCCTTCTATAAACCCGTTAACAGAAATTTCGATACATAACAGAACACAAGGTGTTTCCATACCTGCTTTCCCTTCAACTGCTCCTCAAGCACAGTCTCGCGCTGATGCAATCGACTGAAGCGGTTAATCTTCTCCTGATCCTCGCGACGGACTTCATTCTCATCATTGGCTGATGTCTCGTCCGCTTTTGTGAGCTGCGCGTTGATTCAGTTAGTTTAACAGCTGGGCTTTGGCGGGGTGTTGTCGCGCTTGAGCTTGGTGGGGGTCGACTTACCATGCGCGGCTGCACCATTTTGACTGTTTAATGGGGGGTATTTGGTTGGATTTGGGTGGGAGATTTGTCTGTTCTTTTGTATCTGGACTTTGCTCTGTCCTCGTTGCGGGTTGGTTGGTTTGCGCTTTTGATATCGGGTTTGAGTGGGTGGTCCGTGCGTGGCGATGAGGATGAGTGTTTCTATCAAGGTGGAATAGAGGATCTATACAGTATCTAGGTCATATATATAGAGTATTATCAGGTATTATTTCTACTTCTTTCTCAGGGATATATCAATTCTTCTCTCCTTCTATCTTCGTTACATCCATACACCAGGTTGGGTAGGCCATTGGGTACTTGGGTGACATCATAATAGCTCTTATTTTCTCCAAAGAGCATAAAGAACATTGGTAAAAGTCATTAAACACCAGAAATAGATTCAAATACTTCTAAGGCATCTTCATTTCGAGTAGAGTGTAGGCATCACCTTTTTAGTGCCAAAACACCGCCACCGGAGAAACGAAACACCTCCGCAGGAACAAGAACCTCGTCATCGTCATTTTTCAACTTCAAACCCCCGGACCAGTAACTAGATCTCTCCAGGTTTGATTACTGCACTGGTCACACCTGTCCTGTGTATACCTGTCCTCGTGACCATTTCCATCTGAGCTATCGAGCTCCCGCGCGAAAGCCTCATCCTAGCTTTCATCGGTTCCATCCTACCCATCGCGACCCAGCCAGCGACACATTTATCAAAATGCGAATACAATCAAGTGGAGTCTCACTCCTCCTCTCCACCCTCCTACCAAGTCTGGCATCCGCATCTGCGTCTGGCTTCGACTGCGCAGACATCAAGATCGACAATTACAAATACGATCTCAGTCCCCTAAAAGGCGTCCACGAGTTGACTCACAGCGTAACGACCGATGACTACGTGACGAATACAACCTACCGATTGAATATCTGCAATATTCTCGAGGGCGCTGCCCGGTATGGCGACGCGACGTGCGGGACTGGCAAAAACGGTACGTTCCTGGTGGGGATGACGCGACCATGTTGAAGTGGTCTTCTGCTTATGGCGATCACGCTAATTGATGTATTGTTTTAGTTTGTGGATTCGTGCACCGAACACCGAAGGACGGAAATGGCGGTTCTACGTTCGGTTTCCCGATCGTCGGACTTGACCCTGCTGGCAAAGACCCGAAGAACCCAGAACCGAAGCGATTGAAGGATATCGACCCGGAGACCGAGGGACTGCGCGTGAAACTAGAAGGCGGCTCTTACAAGGGAGATGTCAATGACCAGAAGCCCAAGAAGGCAGCCGCTATCATTGACTTCCAGTGCGATCACGAGCGATCTGGACTGGAGGGTCTGCGTACGATTACAGAGGAATCGGAGAAGAAGGAGCGACGACGGAGAGCGGACGGCGAGGAAGGCCGTGTGCCGTCGGGAAACAGCACGTTGGGAAACAGCAACAACAGCAGTAGTCTGCAGTTCAAGAGCTTTGCTCCGTCGGATGATGATACCTACATCCTGAGACTGGATTGGCGCACAAAGTATGCCTGCGACGAGGTCAAGAAGGAGAAGGGCGATACTCCCAGCTCTAAGAGCTGGGGATTCTTTACCTGGTTGATCATCATGTAAGTCTTGCTCGGTCCCTAGGAACTTCATTTTCTTGCTCATGCTTCTACATTGGAATACCCTGCTAACCAATCTGCTCAGTGCCTTCCTCTGTATCGCCGCCTACCTCATCTTCGGCTCCTGGCTCAACTACAACCGTTATGGCGCCCGTGGCTGGGACCTCCTCCCCCACGGCGACACCATTCGCGATATCCCCTACCTCTTCCAGGACTGGCTCCGTCGTGTGGTCAATACTCTGCAAGGAGCGGGCTCGCGGGGTGGTTACAGTGCGGTATGAATGGACTTGGCTTGGATAGATTGTTTCCTATAGTCACTTGTACTTTTGGATGAAGATACAATATCTTCTTTTAACGAAGGCTGAAAGTTTTTTTTATCTTAGATTATTCCGAATACTAAATAAATAGGTTCATTGGATATTCTGCATACTGTAGGTGAGCATTGCAGGCCCTCCAAGGCTGTGGCATTGCTTCCTCCCTTTGACCCCTGGTCAGATGATTCCACGTCTCTGTGCTAGGTTGGAAATTCACAAGATCAATCACTATATAAAAACTTGGTTCATATCCCCCTCTCATTCATCGTTCAATTTTTGATCTTCTTGCTAGTTCAGGGTGCTTTGGAGCATGTCGCTAACTCCAAGCAACAAATTGTATCCTGAACCACTTCTTCGTCTAGGGGGCTATAAGACCTGGGGGAACTAGGCACATCGACAAATCTACAATAAGGCTGTATCAACAATCTCACAAGCAGCAACCTTCTGACAATTATACTAAGTAGGGTTCGGTTCGGCGCAAGCATCTGCGAGATCCAGGGTCTTATATCACATCCACCTTTACTGCCGGAGAAATTTCAAAGTCTCCCAGATTATTCCCATAACTATCGACTGGGGGTTGTAATTCAAGTCTACAGCTTCTAACGCTTGGACCCGAAAGGTTGAATTCCTCTTGTATTCACGAGCATCATATAGTAGCTCTTCATATTGTTGACTTAAGAGGATTGCGTTTTTGACACACTTTTTAAGTCCCTGTGGACTTCTTTTGGGAATATCAATATGAAACCGGATAGGAACCCATAGTGAGCGTGCATTCCTGGCCAAGTGCCTTACATTGTCGACACACTACAAAGTATGTATTCCAAATTCAATCAACCTCATTGAAGATTGAAAACACAAGCCTAGTGCCAAGACTGTGAGACTGCTCCACCGTCGATCGACGCTCCAACTCCCTCAATCCGGTAATCCCGACCGATCTCCAGGGCTTCGGACTCCGAGTATGTCAGCGCAAAGTTTACACAGTTCAGTATGCAGCAACGCAGAGATTGCTGCCAAACCAATGGTTGTATTTGCCAAGCCGGGGAATTCCGTCGGTCGTCAACCTTCAAGTCCGGTGGCTTATATTGACGAACGAAATAAGCGAAGTTACCTGTGTCAGCAGGATACTGCGCAAGACCAGAGGCATTTTCGGTGCCGATTTACTTGGCAGGTTTCGCGCTCCGATATCCGAGCCCCATTTGACATCTTCACAGTTGTGCATGAGAACTGCAGGATCGGCTTGATCTGCATACAGCATGCCAGGACGTTGTTGTAAGTGTATGTAGGCGCACCGGACAAGCAACCCTGAGGACAGGGTATACCATGGTTCCAACAAGGTACTACAATAATGCTACCGGTAATCAGCGGAAGAGGCTTTCTCCGTCCATCTCAAGCCATGACGATCATTGCCTTGTTTCGAGTCTTGCAAGTCACAGCTTCACTTGATAAGACCAATCAGATGAAGGGTCAATATTGTGCAGGACTTCTCAGTGGTGGAGAGTTGCTAGCTTGCTTCATCAGATAAGATGAAGGGTCCCGCTAATAACGCGGACTTCATTACGCGAAGGTGGGCCTGTCGGAGGAAAGAATTGCACTACGGCCCTGGAGGGAAATGATCGGTCCTTCAGGCCCTTTTCCCTTGTGGACTTATTATATATAAGTATAGCTAGCAGGGCCAAAAAATAACAGGCTCAGGTTATTGAACTGCTGTGGTGCCTTCATTTCTTCTCGCCATGCGTTTTTCCGCTTCAGTTGCCCTTTTGGGCCTTGTTTTGCCACCAGCATGGGCTGTTTGCCCATATGCAGAGCAGATGAGCCTTGAAAAGAAGAGCACGCCTCCACCACATACACACACACCACGCAAGGCACCATCCGACAAGAAAGGCATCTTTTATATGAACCGCATTGCTCCCGGAACATCAGAGCTGTATGTTGCCAATGCTGATGGGACCGGTGAACGTCCTCTTCTCTCCAATCCTATCTACGAATACCATGCCACATTCTCCCCCGATGGAGAATGGATCACCTTCACCGGAGAACGCAATGGTGATGGCAATTCGGATATCTACCGCGTCCGGGCAGACGGATCTGACCTTGAGGAGTTGGTAGCAACATCCTCGGTGGAAGACGGAGTCGTCATGTCCCCGAATGGAAAGCAAATCGCCTATGTGTCCACTGCTAATGGCTACAAGGCCAACATCTGGGTCATGGATCTGGAGAGTGGCAAGAAATGGAACCTCACAGATACTGCCTTGACCGCCGCCGATGATTCTCTTCCTAATGGGTACTTCCGCCCTTCGTGGTCTCCCGACGGCCAATGGATTGCTTTCTCGTCGGACCGTAACTCGGGCTGGTACGGACACGGAGATCCGATATTCCAAGGTGTGACCGGCTGGGAACATACACAGGAGCTGTCCATCTACGCTATTCGACCTGATGGATCTGATTTCCGTCCCGTTGTGTCAAAGCCCGGTTACTGTCTCGGTTCGCCCAAGTGGTCGCCTGATGGCGAGCGTATTCTCTTCTACGAAATCACTCGCGAGAATACCTGGAGCGCTCACCGTCCTGAATCACTTAACTCCGCTAACTCTACCCTTGTCTCGGTGGAGTTTGCCACAGGCGCTGACCGTCGCGTGGAGGCCGAAGGGGCGGGCGTGAAGAGCTTCCCTCAATACATTTCTGATAGCACCGTCGCTTACTTCGCCAAGGGTGCCGGTATCGAGGGGCTTTACACCACTGCCGGTGGATTCGTGAACACCTCTAGCGAGGTGATCCGTTCTCCCGCCTGGTCTACAGACGGCAAGAAGGTCGTCTATGAAAAGACCGCCTGGACTGTCCGTCCTATGGACAAGAAGCTGTACAGCTGGGACTCGGAGTGGGAATACCGCTTTACAGACGTCTTCCCACAGCTATCCAACACCAACACGATCGCCCTGACTGAGAAACAGCTTGGAAACTCTTCCGTTGTTTCCTTCAACGCCAATGGAACCAACGAGGGCCTAATTTACAACGTCATGGAATCCGACTTCATCGATGCAAAGTCAGTCGCTATGGGCACCGCAGGCGCCTTCAACCCGGCCTGGTCACCCGATGGCAAATGGGTCACCTTTGGAGTAGGCTTCTGGTTCCAAGGTCGCGCAACTGGCGGCGGCTGGCTCGTACGAGCCACTGCCAATGGCACGTACTCCGAAGTCCTGACCGAGAGCCAAACAACCCTCCCCGGCAACAGCACCGTGATCAACTCCGGCTTCCCTAGCTTCTCGCATGACGGCAAGAAGATCGTCTTCCGCGTGTGGGGAACCAACTCGAATCTAGGCGACAGATCCCAACTCGGACTCCGTCTTCTCGATCTGGAAACTCGCAAGACCTCCGTCTTGAGTAACGAGTGGGATAACCTGCCTTCCTTCTCCCCCGACGGGAAAAGAATCGTCTTTACTCGCAAGACCAGTGATTACAATTACGATATCTGCACTATGCGTGCTGATGGATCTGATGTCAAGGTTCTCACCAGCAGTGGTGCCAATGACGCTCATGCGGTCTGGACTTGGGATGGTCGCATTGCCTTCTCTTCTGGCATGTTCGGCTTCCAATATGAGTGTGCTCTCTATGATCAGACTTTCCAGCCTTACGGTCAGATCGTCGTTATGGATGTTGATGGCTCGAATAAGCGGGTGCTCACTGATTCTATCTGGGAGGATTCGATGCCTCTCTACGTGCCAAACAGTGCCCTCAAGGCTGACGCCAAGGTTCACAAATAAGGCGCGTAGTACAGCCTCAGACGACCATGTTGCTGACTTGACCTTTTACACATCAATTTTGGTACTTGCAAGAGAACTATGGTTATATTTGTACTTTGATATATTGACACGTCAAGAAATTTATGATTCTGTTAACGTGAACATTTAAGCTGGTGATTGTAGGATTTTTAAGAGCGTAACATCCTCAATGGAAAGTCATCAAAACGGAATCTATGCTACCCAAGTAGACTTTCCAAATTCTATTCAACATGTTTCCGGTTCTTGCAGTTCTTGTAGTCAACTTGAGGCAGCACAGGTGAGAACATAGAAAGAACCAGAGGCGGTGGATGGGTCAGATTTGCCCACTTTCCGAGAGAGAGACTTATAACCCTTGACACAAATTGAGGAAAGCTGGCGATCACCGGCATTATTGAGCAAGAGCTCAAAACAATTCGACTCTTCTTGATTTTCCATGTGGGTTGAAAAGGGCACACAAATACTTCGACGGGCAGTAAACAAAGGGGAGGACGACGAGGAAAGAGCTGCTGACCTACATAGTAGTTGCCTATTTAAGAAGTAACGACCGAGGTGGGAATCAAATGTCGGAGTCCAGGGGTCAAAAACGGTGGTGTGTATTAATAGGTAAGAAACTGGTTTAAATACATGTGGGGCTCATGCCCTAGTAGCTATGCGTTGACATCAAACATCGGCCTCAGGCTAGCATATCATTACCCTGTAAATATACCACTGTGCAATTACAATAGTCCGTACTTGTATATTAACAGAAAGATAGCAAATGGAAATAGCATTCATGGAAGTAGTACCTAGGTAGGAAAATATGCAAGATCGTCATAGTCATCAACCAATCCCCGTGGAGATGGCGCCATTCGGACTAAATCATTCTCATAGAGCTCTCGCAAAGGAGCGGTCAATAAGAAATTATATGGGCTAAGTGCCCCTCGGCTCCCCTTTCTTTCCCATTTCACTCCTGAGCCTCTGCGCTACAAACGACTCGCCAATGTCTCTTTCTAAACCTTCACCGCAAATCCCTTGAGGTACAGGTAGTCGGCCATGTTGGCATCGACTGTCCGGCGGATGAGAGCAGCCTGCTTCTCACCATACTTCTTCTGCCACTCGGCGTCAAACTGCTCCTCGGTCTTGACAGCACGTTTCTATGAAAAGTGTTAGCCCTAAATCCCCCGATACCTTGGCATCCTCATTCCACCAGAACGAAGAATAAAAAACTTACATGAGCTCTCTGCACCAGAGCCTTGGACTCAATAGCATCATTATGGAACCCACGCCACTTCTCGAACGCATTCCGAGCAACAGCATGGTCCTCCTCCGTATCCCACGTCAACATCTCCGGCTTATACGGCAGACCGACACTGTTACAGAACGCCTCGATGGTCTTCGCCGGCTCGTCGAGCATATCATCCGCGTCGATAACACACACCTCAACACCAGTCGTCGCCTGGGGCTCAGCCTGGGCGTTCAGATCCGCGCGCGTTGCAACCTGGGGCCCGATCAATCCACTCTCGAGCAGATAATCAAAGTGTCGGCGCAGCTCGTCATAACCGGCCTCCAGAGGGTCGTAGTTGTGGAACCCGGTCACTTCGTCCAGAGGTGGGATTGTGCATCGCAGGTACGACGGCACGCTGTAATGTGGGTCGCGGATTAGGAACGCCCAGTGGAACTGTTCTTGCAGCTCGCGCGGCATCACCGTTGGGTTTCCCGGCTCTGTTGGCGTGTCGTACGGGTAGGGTTCCTTGGAAGCTCCGTTGGTCACGCCGTTGGTGTGGCCGTTCGTCTCGTGACCGTTCGCACCGTTCGTGCCGTTGGTACCGTTCGAGGCTCCGTTGACCCCGTTGGTGTGACCGTTGGGCGTGGTAGAGTGGCCGTTGGTGTGGGCGGTGCTGTTGGCACCGTTCACACCGTTGGCCTTGTGTGACTCGCCGTTAGTGCCGACTCCGCGCTTAAGGCGCAGCAGAGACGGGGCGATACTGGCGGGCTGACCACTCGGTGGAAGCAGGTAGTGATCGATGTCTTTGATGAAGATTCTCTTTCCCTGTGACAAGGTAAGTATCCCCTCGAAAAGTGCACACATTCCATTCCGCCTTGCGGATCTCCATGGTCATTCGATATTTCAGCGCCAGTCTGTGATCTACAGTTTGTAGAGGGGAAGGGGAACAGATCGCCTCGGGCTATATCTGCGGTGCAAAATAACAAAAATGGAAACAGGTAAGGAATCTTCCCTCGTGTTCGATCCACAGGGGAGAACGCGAAGAGCATCACGAGGGGGATGGGTAAGAACGCGAGAGATTCCAACGCAGAAAGAAGGGTCGGACCTGAGTAGTTTCTCGCTCGAGCCTATCCATCACGGTACTATATGTCGAACTGGCGAATCCACTGTCCAGGCGTTCTTGTTCATGTTCCTCGCCTGCGAATCGGCTGGAGAGGCGCTCCGGGCCGTAGTAGAATGCATCGCCAAATGGCTCATGGACACATTGAATAGTATCTCGTTGAGTCATGAAGACCTGTCGTCTGTTAGATATGTGTTTTGAATGGAAGTCGTTCGAATTTAGGATATCTTACTCGCTCAAAGGCTGTCGAGCATGCTCGTGGATGCGTAGCCACAAAGATCGGCTTGTCAGACATACTTGTACGTCGTGCAAGAATTTAATATTGGCCGATATAACTGCAACCGGCAGACTTGTCAGGGAAGTCACCAAAGGTAATCGTAAATAAACTTGCAGTGGATCAGGCCTCTGATCAATTAACGCAAGGGTTCAAATTCAACCGCTTGAGGCTGCGGAACAGAAAATTTCTGATTGGGATAGCGGGTCGAGTTCTTCGCAAGGGTCCCAATGTGAGAGCTAATGGTCAATCACTAGAAGAAAAGAATGCAGAGGGGGGCTAAAAACTCTTTATATGGACGAATGACATAGGTACCACGTTTAATAACAGGGTTTTATTTTTTATTTTTTTTAAAGGAGCCTCGGGAAGCGGAGAGCTACCAGAGTTGACTAGAAAAAGAAAATTCAATTATTATGGGTATTCTATATGGTTAGAGAGGGATTAGAGAGATCTACGAATTAAGCCAGATGCAAGGTCATAAGGTATAGTACCCCTCCTTATAGTACATAGTATTACCAGGGTATAGAAGTGCATATAGTACTGCATACTATCTAGATGTAAAATCGAAAAAAAGTCTCGAAGTCAGAGCATTAGCTTCAACATTCCTCTTTTCCAAGGATGAAGCAAATCATTAACGCCACAAAGCCTCTTGCCCCTCTCCGCCCCGCAGCCTTTCTATTTTTTTCTTTTTCAGCCTAGACTGTAGGCTAGACACGAAACAATCATAAATAGAAAAAAAAAAAAGAAAATCTACCTTTGATGGAATAGCCAATGAGAAAACAACTTGTGGACAGTTGGGATCGATCTTCATTTCTGGATGCCTTGGCCTGGAGGTGTCCCACGGTCATGTCTGAGCTCCTCACCTGAGACTGTACTCCTCTTCCATGCAGCCCCGGTGAAAGTTGACTTCCTAAACGGTATTTCAAGAGCACAGATCGCATATAAGAATTCCTCCAATTTGACTAGATACAGGGGGTCTGATCCTGGGTAAGGCTCGAGATCGATTTCTTCGAATTCTCATTGCTTAGGGTATATCCCACCTGACGTCATTGACTAACCGTGGGATATTTTCTGTCGGCTATCGTGGAATACGATATACAACGTAAGCGACGCATAGCGATAGAAAATAAAGCTCGTCTGGAATACCCGGGGCTATATCAGTAGTGCCTGGGCAGGCGTCAGTGGCACATCGTAGGATTCAACGTAGATTATTAACATCTTGATTTTTGCGGGTAAGAGGAGCCGGTGGGACTGGGTTGTTTCGATGCTCCACTGCAAGGCACGCAAGCTCAAAGTAGAACCCGCCAATAATGGCATCAACGCCGAATCAAATCTCCAACGTGGGGAGCCTGAACATTCAAGGCTTGTGGTTTGCTGGGTTGCGCGATTTAATAGGTTGCTGACATCACGGAACGTATAGGGATTAGGTCAGCGAATATCACGTGCCTCTCGCGTGGGCTTCACGTGGGACTTGATCTATCACGTGCACAATCTGCCCCGGTGATATTGCCTATGCAATAAGGCGGTAATTGACTAAATATAGCGGAATGGATGACCTGTTGCCTTTTGTAATAAGGCGGTAATTGACTGACTATGGTGTATGTGTGTGTAGCAGAATGTAAGTGTCATCGAGTATATCTTGGTAGAGAGTGACATGCTACACTATGGATGTGGTCCGTGATTATTCCGGAGTAATGGTTTCTCCGGTGCCTTGGGGTGATCCTCGGCACTGTCAGGCAACGTCAGGCAACGTCAGGCAGCTTCTGGAAGGCGGTGGAACTCAGTAGTGACGCCATGGATCTGGTAGCAGCTTCGGGCATCCCACGCGCCAGGAGTATATGAACTTGCATCATCGTGTTTCAAGTTAGATATTCTTCAAGTTTACTTGCTCAATTACTGTCTCCTCTTACATTATTACGACGATCCCCATTCCTCAGAACATCGGCATTTGCGACCCTATTGAAATTACCCCACACATCCGTTCAAAATGAACGGCGTCGAGTTCACAGATCGAGCCAACAAGGCCTTGCTGGACTCCAGCAGCCTCTGTGAGCAATATGCACAATCCCAGATCCTGCCACTCCACCTGGCAGTTGCGTTGCTCAACCCCTCCCCAGATGAGTCCAAAGATCAACAGACTCCTTCTGGTGCCCATGCCTCCCACGATGAATCAACCGCCCCTCTCTTCCGCCAGGTAGTCGACCGAGCTCACGGCGACTCTCAGCTCCTCGACCGATCGCTGATGAAGCTGCTGGTCCGCCTGCCGAGTCAAGATCCTCCTCCAGAGAACCCTAGCGTTTCTCCCCAACTCTCCAAAGTCATTCGATCAGCCACCGATTTGTCGAAGACCCAAAAGGACAGCTTCGTTGCCGTGGATCATCTCATCCAGTCTGTCTGCCAAGATTCACAGGTTCAGCGTGCTCTGGGCGATGCCAATATCCCCAACCTCAAGTTGATCGACAATGCTATCCAGCAAATTCGTGGTACAAAGCGGGTCGACTCCAAGACCGCCGATGCGGAAGGCGAAAACGAGAACCTGAAGAAGTTCACCATTGATATGACTTCTTTGGCTCGGGAGGGTAAGATTGATCCCGTCATTGGCCGAGAGGAGGAAATCCGTCGCGTCATTCGTATTCTCAGCCGACGCACGAAGAACAACCCTGTGCTTATCGGTGAGCCCGGTGTTGGTAAGACCACCATTGTCGAAGGTCTCGCTCGCCGTATTGTCAACGCCGATATTCCCGCCAACCTGGCTCAGTGCCGTCTTCTTTCTCTCGATGTCGGTTCTCTGGTTGCGGGCAGCAAGTACCGCGGTGAATTCGAAGAACGTATGAAGGGTGTTCTCAAGGAAATCGAAGATTCCAAGGATACTATCGTTCTCTTCGTCGATGAGATTCACCTGCTCATGGGCGCTGGATCTAGCGGCGAAGGCGGTATGGACGCCGCCAACCTTCTCAAGCCCATGCTGGCTCGCGGCCAGTTGCATTGTATTGGTGCTACCACTCTCTCTGAGTACCGCAAGTATATTGAGAAGGACCAGGCCTTCGAGCGACGATTCCAGCAGGTCCTTGTCAAGGAGCCTTCAGTCCCAGAGACCATCTCTATCCTTCGTGGTCTGAAGGAAAAATACGAAGCACATCACGGTGTCAACATTCTCGATGGAGCTATCGTCACTGCCGCCACTCTCGCGTCTCGTTACCTGACAGCTCGTCGACTCCCCGATTCTGCCGTCGATTTGATTGACGAGGCTGCAGCTGCAGTCCGAGTCACTCGCGAGTCCGAGCCAGAAGCTCTCGATACGCTGGAAAGAAAGTCCCGCCAGCTTGAGATCGAAATTCACGCCCTTGGACGTGAGCAGGACGATGCATCCAAGGCTCGTCTTGAGGCTGCCAAACAGGAAGCTGCCAATGTTGCTGAGGAGCTCCGGCCCATGCGTGAGAAATACGAAAGTGAGAAGCAACGCAGCCGCGAAGTCCAGGAGGCCAAGATCAAGCTTGACTCTCTCAAGGTCAAGCGTGACGAAGCCGAACGTATGGGCGACACCCAGACAGCTGCCGATCTCGAATACTACGCCATCCCAGAGACCAAAACCCTCATCGAGCGTCTTGAGGCTGACCGGGCAAGGGCCGATGCCGAACGTCGCGCTCAATCAGGCGATGCTGGTGAAGCACTTCTTGCCGATGCGGTTGGTCCCGATCAGATCAATGAAATTGTCGGCCGGTGGACCGGTATCCCTGTCACCAGACTCAAGACCACCGAAAAGGACAAGCTGCTCAACATGGAGAAATATCTTGGCAAGCTCGTTGTCGGCCAGAAGGAAGCCGTTGTTTCGGTCTCCAACGCCATTCGCTTGCAACGCTCAGGTCTCAGCAACCCTAATGCGCCCCCCAGCTTCTTGTTCTGTGGTCCCTCCGGTACCGGTAAGACACTGCTCACAAAAGCGCTTGCCGAATTCCTCTTCGATGATCCAAAGGCAATGATCCGGTTCGACATGTCCGAGTACCAGGAGCGACACTCGCTCAGCCGTATGATCGGTGCACCCCCCGGATACGTTGGTCACGACGCCGGTGGCCAACTTACCGAAAACCTGCGCCGCCGCCCATTCTCGATCTTGCTCTTCGACGAGGTCGAGAAGGCCGCAAAGGAGGTCCTCACTGTCCTCCTGCAACTCATGGATGACGGCCGTATCACCGACGGCCAGGGCCGCATCGTCGATGCAAAGAACTGCATCGTCGTTATGACCTCCAACCTGGGTGCCCAATATCTCTCCCGCCCCACTACCAAGGACGGAAAGATTGACCCTCAGACCCGCGAGTTGGTCATGAAAACACTACAAGACTACTTCTTGCCGGAGTTCCTCAACCGTATCTCCAGCACCGTCATCTTCAACCGTCTCACCAGACGGGAGATCCGCAAGATCGTGGACCTCCGTTTGGCCGAGGTGCAGAAGCGGCTCGATCAAAACGAGCGCAATGTCTTTATCCAGTGTACGGACGAAGTCAAGGACTACCTCGGCGCAGCAGGATACTCCTCGGCCTACGGTGCTCGTCCACTCGGCCGACTCATCGAGCGCGAGGTCCTCAACCGTCTCGCTGTCCTCATTTTGCGTGGAAGCATCAAGGACGGCGAGACCGCCCGCGTCGTCATGCAAGACGGTCGCATCGAAGTCCTGCCTAACCACGAGATTGGCGAGAGCAGTGATGAGAGCGATGACGACATGATGGACGATGATGATATCGACGCTGAGATGGATGATAATCCGGTCTCCCCTGATCTATACGATGATTAAGCAGACCTGGTTTTCATAAGGTCTCCTTTTTTGTCAAAACGCGAAACATAAAAAAAGGATTTGAACTTACCCAGCGATGATGAGATGATACACGACTTTTTCTTTCTGATTCTGTTTTTCGGCTTCGATTTCCTACGGCGTTGGCACTATCTCTTCGCATTCTGTTTTCATGTACTTATGTAGTCTTCGCTGGGTGGATATGTCCTTGAGTCGAAGGCTTATCAGCCTCGACAATGATGTTAATATATGTTTATTTTTTATCCAAAATCTAAATTGAGCATACTCCTGAACCTATTGTAGAAAGTAATTACGAACTTGAGGCCACAATACTTACCATTATCTCTTCATGTGTTATTGAGATCTCCCAATGTCGATGCTCCTTACCCCAGCGTCCAATTCCAATTCTGTTGAAATGAACTTTTCCAAGATGTTTAGTCATATTATCTTTCCGACTGAAGAGTCTGCCGCAGTCAGGGCAACTGAATGAGTGTGGAGTGACATGCTGCGTTTCAATGTGATGCATCAAGACCCTTTTACGAGAGAACATGCCGAGGTATGGGCAGTCTTTCCATTTGCAGCAGAAAGCACCGTGGTTATCACATATATGAGAGCATTATTGTTAGTAAGGTAGTAACGGCAATGTTCCGGCCCGACACTGAGCTTGTTACCCGGGATTCTGTCTGCATGCTTTACGGCGCTGACATGACATCCCAACCCTGGCACAACGGCGGCCATCGACCTTTGACTGAGGTATCTCTTGTACAGAGCAATCAGAGGATGGGGAGGAACCAGTAGTATTAACAGGCCCTGGACTAACGTCCTCTATAGAAAAAAGGGCTGACCCCAGGAATCTTACAAATCCTACTGGGAGCAACTGCCTGGACAAGAGAAGAAAAGGGACAGGCGGTTGTCCAGCACTTGCTAGATGTTGATGCAGACGTACACCAGGATGCCGAGTTTATCCACAATTTCATCAACCGGCCTTCAAATCCAGTGAAGTTTGCTTTGAGCGAAGGGGATGTTCCCCTATTACGGAACTTGTTGACCGTCTATCGCATTGTTGACTACGCTGATAGCCGAGGATACATGCAATACGCCCTCAAATATGGAACCCTTGAGTAATTCAAAATCCTCCGGATGGCCAACGGCGCTATGGTCTATTGAAGGACTCGAAAGAAGAACCACTTCTACCGACGGCAGTAAGATCCGGGAAAACTGAGATAGTATCTTCGCTGTTGGAAGTAGGCGTAGATATCAACGCAACATACAACTCACCAGACCGATATCGATTCGGGCCGGGATGGATCGCAATATATATTCCTGGCGAAGTGGGAAACATGAAGATGATGACTATTCTCCTGAAAGCTGGTGCGAGGATTCATGATTTACCGACACCTAGGTACTAAGTGACTACTCTTTGGCACGCGGTAAAAGGAGGGGGTATTTGATTTAGAGGAATAGAGGATGTTGGATGAGACGAAGAAGGAACTATTGAGCCAGAGTGACCCCGGTGTTCGAAAAGGTAGGAGTAGTATCAATCCAGTTTGCCGGCTTTACATTCGACACCCTAATATTTAGGATATACAAGACATTTCATATACATATTTAGATGAGTTTCTACCAAGAATTTGACCATATTTCTTATCATCGCAATCTTGGGTGTAATACACATTCAAGGACTGTACAGTTCTCATTACAGGCAAGAGGGTCCCGTTTCAAAAATAGCTCTGTGCGCAGATCCAGATCCAGATCCTTTGGGACTTAAAAACTTTAACCTCTTTGAAACTTCAATAGTGCATCATATCCAAGATTTAGTAAAAGTGAGATACTTGAGATGGTTTGAGCGTGTTAAGTTTATAGGTTTGCTTGGTTTTTAGATGTTGGCCAGTAGACAACGTAATTCTTCGATATGACCTTGTCTAATATGAATAATTTTTGACCTCTTTTGCTAATAGAGAAATCGTTTAGATCTGGCCTTCATAGTTCAACATTCATGCCGAGATACCCTTCCGAGGTTAGCTTGCTACTGGTCTCAAGCGATGCACTATCATACAAGGTTATATACTCCGTACCTGTACGGTACTGCCGAACGGGGTTCTCGGATTTCTCATCTTATATGTCAGCAGCAAATTAAACACCGTTTCTAGTAATTACTCGCGCGCCTCGTGGCGGCTGGCGTACCTACGAGATGTATCCAAAGCGAAGACAAATAGCCCTACAATTCGCCACATATGTTGTAGTTTTATGTTTCGTTTAACTTGGAAAAAAGAAAAGATTCTTTGCTTGTCCTGCATATGCACAACATATAACAAATATATATTATGTCCGTACCTGAGTCAAGTAAAAGTCGTATTCGGGCTCGTATTCGGGCTCGCATCCAGATTAGCTTAAGAAAAGGCCGAGAGGATACATAGTACTTGGTATACAAAGATAGAGTGGGGGCCAGAAAGTCAGAGCACAGTCGCGATCAAAGAGGTCTCTCGGATTTGAGGGGGATCGTCACTTCGGCCGAAGCGCGAGAAGATGAAAGAAAATAGTAAAAAAAAAGAAAGAAATTGCAATTAACTCAAAGGGAAAGGAAATTACCACCCTCCTTATCGGGAAAAGATGAGCTCCGTGTTATGTACATAGTGCTCGGCTGAGGTCCACTTTAGGATTGTGTACAATATACAATAGAGTACTTACAATAGGAGTATGGGGCTTGGGAGGATAATTTAAATAAATCAAGCGATTTACCGAGACCTTTGGACTAACTTTTTTAGTGAATCCTTCAGTGAATCCTTCACATGCCAGAATAGACCGAAAATTATATAAGTTACTAGAATAGGGATGATCTTTTCACTGAGAAATACATTATCGACATCTAGAAGGATTGAGAGGTACAGTAGATACTTCGTTGAATATGAAATTCCAGGAAGTTGGAGACCGTGGAATTTGGGGTCGAAACTCACTTGAAACTTAGATTTAGTGACGCGGCTTAATAGGCTTAATAGGCTCAATAGGTCTTTCTAAAATAATTTGATTGATCAATAATATGGTAATTCCCCAGATAAAACAGTGAAGGACTTCTATGACCGATGTCAATTGATAAGAGAGAGCTTGTCCATGGTAGAGTGCAAACTATAGAGCATCCATGGAGTGGATTTTGTCGCGCTTTACCTAGACAAGGTTGATATGCCGATCAAGTGGGGGAAACTTTGGTGAACTGGTTCCGTCGATACCGAGGTTTCCATTTTGGGGTCGCCGATATCGGGGTATTCCGTTATGAGATACATATAGTAGCTGTGCTCAACCTATGTATAGTCTGGAAATCTCTGCAAAATGTATGGAGTATGGAGTATGGAGGTAAATAAAATAACTCAAAACTAATTATGCATTACCGGCATGAACCATTCCAGCTCTACATTCGGAATAGCTTATGCAAAGCCACCCCATGTAACGAGCCATCCCGAGTCCAAGCACCAGAACCGGGGAAAGTGTAATTAATCTCGTAATTTTCTAGAAACGTTCCATTTATTGCGAACCATGTTCACCGGTTCATCCAACCCCTCAGACCCCTTGGGAGATCAAAGAACCAAGGAAAGCTCGCTTGTCCAATGCCCTGGGATAATCACTTCCCAGCTTGGAGGTTGCCGTCGAATAAGATCGGCAGGTCTTGACGCAAGGTGCCGGGAGATCGGCTGGTTGTGATGAAATGTTTTCCACGGTTCTACCTGTCTTTGGAAAGTGGGTTAACCCACTGCCGTTGTTGGGTACCGGGGAGCTCTGTGGAAATGGAGGTTGATATGCAATTAAAGGGGGTGAACTTTTGTAGGTGTGTTCCAAGGAGAAGTCTCTAAGAGATTCCAGTAGATCCCTCCAGCGGGTACAGGAATCTAGAAGTAAATATGTACAAACAAAATTAATCACAATAATTTAGGACGGGGGGTATCAAGCCCTGGGAGACTTCGTGGATTCGTAAAAAAGAGACAAATAGAAAATGAGATCTTTCTCAGTGTGTAGTAAGAGTCGATTAAACATCCTCGCGCGTACGGGTAATATGCGAAGAATTCGACTCATAATCCGAAGGCCGCGAGTCACGCTCCACGGTAACGGTAATATCCTGACGAATGCGCAAAGCACGGGCGGAGCCGTCGTCACTGCTCGCATCGCGCTCCTCGCTAGGCGAGAGACTGACATCAGAAACAGTCGCCTTTTGCGGGGTAATCGTTGTTGTGCCCTCGAATTCCTGCATGCCGAAGTCTCCTGATCGGGCATGACTGGGCGGTCCATAGGGAGGCAGATTCGAGCCGCCCTTGCTGGTCCAGGGCCCGGACTTGTAGCGGTCGGTGCCGCGCTTGGAGCCTCCGGTCCAGCTCTTGAGGGCAGGGAAGACGTCGCGGAGAAGTGACCAGATTAACGGCAGGTTGGTGACCAGGATAGCGACGGTTGCCTCGCGGAAGTACCAATTCATGTAGACGTAGGAGATCAGAGACGGGACGAGGCAGTACACCTTGTTCAGGACGGCGGCGACGATGACGAAGATTCCCATGCCGAAGAGGATCATCAGGATCATCTTTTGCTTGAGTGGGACGCGGACCTGGACTAGCATCGGGATGGCGATAAGGAGCATGAATATATCGGCAGAGATTGAGATGCAGCCTTGGACGATTTCGTAGTACTGGTAGGACGAACATTGGTAGTCTGGCGCTGGTAGGACGGCCCAGTAGTCTGTTAATGGGCGGCACATCAGGAAGAGAGACAGTTCGGTTGCGACAAATCCCAGCGCAACATAAATTGCGACATAGTTGATCCAGCGCTTCTGCTTCAATCCTTCACTGTTGGCTGTTAGCGAAGAGAGCAGGCTCTAAACCGAGGTTCAACATACGTGATACGCGCATAGATCACCAACATGCATGCTTTCAAACTCCAGACGCAAAGAATAAAGGAATGTTCCGACACAAAGACCCATTTGCTACCGCGCACTCGTTCGTCGATAGATTTATCCGTCAACGACAGCTTGTCCTCCTCGGTCATGAGATTCGACCCGCCACCGGAAGCGACTTGATTTAAAGCGACACATAGTATCGTATACCAAAGTACTGCGAATAGCATAAGATAGTCATCGACCTGGAGATTGCGAATGCCTAAACGCCGAACACGAGCAACGCTATCAAAGCTCTTTAGTGGATGTTTGGATATTGGATATTCAATTGATACTCACAATCGCAAGACGGCACTCAGTACTCCGACGGAATACAGAGCCCATGTTTCACGGGCGAATTGCACCGCGAACTGACCCCCTAAACCAGACATTGCCCCCGGCCTGTTCGAATAGAGGTTAATAGGGATCCAAGGGAGAAACGAGAGTTAAGAGGCGCACTCACATTTTCTGAAACTAGCCGGGATATGAGATACTATGTATAGGGTTGCCAAGTTCCGATAGGGCCCTGCATACGTCGATGATCACGACAGGGGTATGGTTCGAAGCGTGTTAGAACCTTCAAAAGTATGATAGATTCTAAGTATGCTGTATGGTAAGATGCAGAGAATAAAACGCCAATCACTCAAAGATAGAGAGTAGAGAATAGCGATTGGATAGTAGTGGGGGGCATTTGATGGCGAGTGTTTCCTTGGGCGAGATTAGTTTGGGAAATTGACCTCATTGCTGCATTCTGATTTGTATCTGCCAATTTTGTCACTGGTCCACTTTAGGTACCGCGCTTATGGAATTTTCTCTGATCCCTGTGAGACCTGGAAGTTTTGCTGATTTATAGTTTAGTAGTCTTTTAACTCCCAAATGTTAGCCAAAAAAAAATTTACTTAGGACTATATACGAACTATAGCCATAATCTAGTGTTACCTACTACCTGCTTGACTAGGCAAGAGGATTATATGAACACGTCGCATATGTAGATTACTATACGAAGTACCCAATCACCAAGGTAAAACGCCTAAGCGAAGATTGACATGGCTCTTTCTATCTGGAGAGGCCCACTGTGGAGGTGATCAGCCAATATTCCAAGGTTCGCGAGGAATTCAGTAATTACTATACAAGTCCTATATTGTAGAACATCCAACAATATAGCCCTGGAGACCTTTGATTTCGGATCTATATACGGAGTTAGCGGTAGCTGAGGTGA